GAAAGGACAAGAAACTCCTTTAAATTACCCCCAAACAGATTAAACTAACATATTAAGCACTTCAAGTTGGCTCATAAACCAATGAGAGCCACAAAGTTCTCAGTTAAGGATGAACTTTATATGTCCTTCAATAACTACATACTAATAAGGCACAGTGAGAAAACCATTTTTAGCAGCGCATTATTGTTTTGAGATCAGAGACATACAATAGGGTGGATTTCACTCATCGCCTAATTGTCTTACTTTTATTGAGTTGCGTCACAGCCAAGGCAGCATCAAGGTTAGTAAAATATGACCTAACTTTTTTTCCTTCTGTTTGCTAACTTCATGCAGTTCGTTGCCATATGCAATTCAATAAGCTAGCTAGTATTCATACAGCACTTCTAAGATGTAAAGGTCCCATCTGGCCTTAAGAGCTATGAATCTATGTATATGCCAAGTACTATAGGGAGAACAGTAATTAGCCCTATATTTGCGTGGCCTAACATTTCCCATTTTATAAATACTGTATATAATTTTATATAATTTTAAAGCACTTCAACCTCTGCATGGTTTGCAACAGGATTTTAAAAACTGAAAGGGGGGTACTCCGAAGGTCAGGGAGCGGTCCCTTTTGCCCCATGAAAAGGCATCCAGATTTAGCTGTTATACAGCTTCGAAACCTGGCATGAGAGTATGATGGCCTTCTCCCTGCCATGCTGATGCTCGTGGGGGCAGGCGGGTGCCCATGTGGGTGCTATCACCCCCCTCCTGCCAAGGAGGGGAGTTTACTTTGGTGCCCTCCTGAAATGTTGGCCGGCGCTTCAGTACTCCCAGTTACCAGCTTCCACCCCGGGCCTGAGGGACCCAGCCCCCTGGCCAGCGCACAGCTGGAGGGAGGCGCAAAACCACGCGGCTGCTACCGGCCACTCACCGCGGCGCTCCCGGGCTCTCGGATCCGCATGGCACAAGATCATCGCCTCAGCCCCCAGGCTTCCGCCTTTGGGGGGGTCTCACGCACCCCGCTCTGCAGTCCTACTGCCAAGGTGCGATGGGAACACACCGAGCTGCCACCCCAGCCGCCCAGTGAACCTCGGGGCCCACCTCGAATAGCGCAGACTACACTTCCCAGCATGCAATGCTCCAGACAGGGGCCGCACAGACCAACTGAGAGCATTGCATGCTGGGATCAGTAGTCTCTCCTCCTGGAAATAGGCAGATTACTGAGCTAGACTCTGCGTCTACTGAGTGCATTGCATGCTGGGAGAGTTGTAGTTCCCATGGTCTGCTCCTCTTTGCTGGGGAAGAAAGTGGTTGCAATCCATTCAGTTTTATGCAAGTTCTGTGCAGTCCTTGTTAGGCTCCTGACAAACTACCAGCACTCTGGCTTCTTCAGCTGGTTAAACCCTGACCTCTCCACAGCTGTGTGATAAATTGCCAATCCTGTAGTACTCCTTCTACTGGGCAAACTTTGGGCAAGTTGTGTCTTCAGCTGAGCAGAGTTTGGATGCCCTATGACCCACCTCAGTGAAAGTCAGAGAACACAGAATGATCCACCTTAGTGAAAGTCAGAGAACACAGAAGAAATAGACTTTCCAATAAAAAATGATCATGCCTTTTTGTTTTTCTTTCCCCAAAATACTTTTCTATTCAGCATTTATCTTTGGACTTTGAGTTTATCCTAACAGAACAAAATGTGGCTGCAGTATGTTTAATTTGTACATATGTTGCAATCATGATGTACTAAGTCATTATATCTGTTGTTTTATATATATACACACAAGGGCGTGTGCATGAATTTAAATTTCACTGCTTTTGGAGGAGCACATTCTGTGCCCCCCACCGCAGCCCTGGGGCTAGAGGAGCTGTCAGCTCCTGCTGTGGCCCCAGGATGGGAGGAGCTCGCTCTTCCTGCCACAGCCCTGGGGGCAGAGGAGTTCTGTACCCCTGCTGATTATTGGGGGGCCTGTGCCCCCCCCCCTTGTGCATGCCCCTGCAGATACATTAAAATGACATTATTTAGGTTGCAAAGACAAGCACTAAAAAGTTAGGAAATAATTAAGATTGCCGGAGCAACCTGAATTCAAACCCCTTATGAATACACATTATAATACAGTCTTTAATATATTATCATATCATTTTTTCTACCTCTCTCCCTCATTCAGTGCACAGGAAGCATGGTGCTCACTTCATCAGGAGCGAGCTATTCAATATTTTGTTCTATCCTCATTGCTCAATGTGTGGTCCCAGGCCTAATTTACTACATTCTATTTAAACCGTGCTTGGAAGTGAGAATTATTAGTTTCCACATGAACTTTTCAATTATGCTTATCACTCTAGTATCTGAGTGCTTCACAAATCTAATTTGAGACACTCAGGAGCTGATTTTTCAGAATACTTAGTATTATTATAGTTTGGTGTGTATTGTTATGGGTCAGGTCTGGCCACACTGCCTTCTATTAAATACAAAGATGCCATTTTAATCAGTGCCTGAAACAATAGCAGTAGCACCCAATTTTTCCTCCTAACTGGGATAACCCATAGGGCCCCGAACTTTGACTAACCACTCTGGTTAAAAGGGTAAAAATGTTATATAAAGCACTTTATAAGTTCAAAGGCCAGCTCCCACTGACTCCAGTTGCAGCTGTGAGTGCTCTGCTCTTCTACAAATCAGGTCTGAGGGTATCAAATTGGGAACCTAGAAAAGGAGGAACATGAATGACTTCCTATGAAAAGTTTGATTTAAGTGATTTGTCCAGCATCACCTATGGCTCTGTGGCACAGGCAGGGATAGAATCCAGTTGAAGACAGCATTCAACTGCCTTAATCATAAGACAGTCCTTTCTCCTCCTGCAATCTTCTGCCTTAGGCCTAGCCCAACAGAGATGGCTGCACATCCAGCTAGTCTACCTCCCTCCAAACCATGCCCAGAGACACAGGTGCCAATTCCATGGGTGCTCCGGGGCTGGAGCTCCCACGGGGAAAAATTGGTGGGTGCAGAGCACCCACTTGCAGCTCCCCAACCCGCCCCTCCCGCCCCAGCTCGCCTCTGCTCCGCCTCCACCTCCTCCCCTCAGGCCGCCTCCTCCTGCTTCTACCCCCTCCCAGCTGTTTCATGCGGCAACCTGGGAGTAGGAGGAACGCAGCACGCTTGGGGAAGAGGCGGGGCCAGGGCGGGGATTTGGGGGAGGATCCAATAGGGGCAGGGAGGGACTTGGGGGCACGAGCACCCACTGGCGCCAACAAAAGTTGGCGCCTGTGCCCAGAGAACATCTATACTGCTTGTACTTCATACCATCCACTTCCTCACCCTTGTGTCCTGCCCTAATACCAAGTGGACCTGCTGCCACCTGAGGAGGGCAAGGACCTCCTTGCGCTAGCCTGTATTCCACTCTGGTTTCAAAGCCTGCTGGGGATATTAGTTGACAGCTCCTCCGGGCGCGTACCTCGTGCAGTTCACAAACTCCCCCAACACTTGTCCCTTTTGTGGAGAAGTAGACCCTGGCACACCTCTGTGTAGAGTGCATCAGGTTGCAACCTCTCTTCCGGCTCCCCCAGAATGTCTTACTGAGGTTCTGGCTGCACTTTTCTCTGCATCTCCTGATCTACACATATTCCATCTGCAGTTGCACTAAGTTGCAAAACCTCCTTGGCAACCACCTCCTGGTGCTGGCCAAGACGGCCATCCACCACTCCAGGAGAAGGAAGCTGGACTGGGGGGTATACTGCAACTGTGAGGCTTATTTCCAGTCCCTTGCCTGCTTACATCTCTGGCTAGAGTTCCGCTGAATGGCATCCAATGACTCCTTGGAGCAGTGGGTGCTGCTGTCTGGCATTCTCTGCTTGGTTTCCCCTCCTCTGGATCTCTCATTCTTAACCTCTGACCTCACACCCACTACTGTTTTTGTCATTTGTTATCCCAAGAACTCAATTTTAGCCTAGGCTTTGTGGGGCTTTCCACTTAGCTGAGGGGACAGGCCTAGACCCACCTGCCCCAGACGGGTACAAATAGTACACAATCCTGCTCCAGATCCAGAGTAGGTCAATCCTATGCACTGAATGAGGAAGAAGTCCTGTAGAAAAAACAGTAGGTGTGCACGTAATTATTCCTTATTTTGTGCCCATCACGTAGTATCTGAGTGTCATCATCCCTTTCTCTAGTTTAGATAGTGGAGGCCCATGGTTCCTGCTGGAGGCTACCCACACGTACTTGTGAACAATATTCAGATATTGTACAGACATGCTAATTTTTTAACTGACAGAAGGCCCAGTCAGGCCCATATTTTATAATACAATATATCCATACAGGCTGGCATGAGGAGGGATACTGAAGTGTGTGCGTGTGCCCCTCTCCTTGCTTAGGGAATAGATGCTCTGGCATGGGCCAGGGCCCCTCTCTTTGCTTGGGGTACAAGGGCTCTGGCATAGGGCAGAGGCTGTGCCCCCTCCTTGCTCAGAGGCTCTGGCAAGTGGGGAGCACTGCCCACTTGGGACATAGGAGCTCTAGCAGAGTGGGGGGCTGAGGCGCTCTCCTTGCTGAAGAAACTGGGGCTCTGCCAACGGGGGGGGGTCTGTGTCCTCTGCACAGAGGCACTAGTGTAGGGGGGGTCTGAGGCCTCTCCCCACCCAGGGCACAGGGAGCTAGTGGCTGGGGGTACTATGCCCATGTCTTAGCTCAGGGCACAGAGACTTGGGGGGGGGGGAGTTAGGCCCTCTCCTGGTTCTGGCCACAGGGCGCTGGCAGAGGGGATTGTGCCTGCACAGGTCAGTAGGGTTGCCAATCCTCCAGGACTGTCCTGCAGTCTCTAGGAATTAAAGATGAATCTTTAGGTAAAGACTATGTCATGTGATGAAAGCTCCAGGATACCTCCAACCAAGCCTGGCAACCCTAGGCACTGGCAGAGAAGAGCCGGCTCGGGGCACGCGAGCTCTGGCGCGGGGGCAGGTCTGAGGCCCTCGGCTAGCTCGGGGCTCAGGTCTGCGCTCACGCCCAGGCAGGCGGCCCAGCCGAGTGGAGTGGATGAGGGGGCGGAGCCGCTCTGACGGCGGAAGGAGGCGGGGAGCGGCCCCCCTAACCACTGTGGGCTCCGAGCGGCCGATTTGGCCGCCTCAGCACAACCGGGTCGGGGTTTACCGCGACCGTTGCACCCACCCCGCCGGTGCCCCGTCCGGTCACCGTCCACCCAACGCCGCCGCTGGGGTTCCTCGCTCCCGCCCTCCACTGACGCAGTCTGTGCCGCACCAGCTCCTAACATGGCGGCGGCGAGGCAGTGAGGAGCGCGGGCAGCGAGCCGGGCCGCGAGCGGGTGAGTGCTGGGGCGCTGCGGGGAGTCTGTCCCGCCGAGCCCCTTGCGGGCGAGGGCCTCAGCGCCATAGGGAGGGCCGGGGCCTGCACCCCTCACCAGGGGGCGGGAGTTACCCGCTCCGTCCCGGGAAGGGGCCCACAACACACCTCGTTGGGCCGCAGCAGCTTTAGCCCTCCGGGGGACTCAGCCTGCCTGTAACGGGCTTGGGGAAAGGTGGGGGTGGCCCAGCCCTGGGGAGACGACGAGGAGGGTCTTGTGGTCCGGTCTGGCCTGAGAAGAAAGGAGGCGTTGAGTGGCAGGGAATAAGCTGCAAATTGGAGGGAAGTTAGAGGAGGGAGGTGTGGAGGGTCATGGGCGAGATCCAAGGGGGTGGGATTAGTTACAAATGGGGGATTGTGGTGAATGGCTTTTTTTAAAATTAGCTCCTTGGAGCAGGACAGGAGCCTTTTCTCCACGCACGTAGGTGATGTGCTGCTGGCCACATTTTCAGTTCTCCAGACACAAATCATTAGTGATAATTCCAGCTGCTGGTACACAGGGGGCCGTGCTCCGTGCCTGCTCCAGAGTTTGAATGAATCCTCTCTCTTCTCCCCTAGCAGACAAAATCACCAGACTCTCTGCTCGCCACATGGCCTCGTCCCCTCTGCAGGCCTCTGGAACAGGAGATGTTGCTTTGAAGGGTGCTCCATGGCTGGCTGGAGGGTCTCTGTCTTAGTTTGAAGGGCTGTCCCAACGCTGTGCATAGATTTTTTTTTTTTTTTTTTTTTTGTTAATAGTGATGACATCAGTTATAGACTCATTTTGCTTGCAGGCATTAATGAACTGAAAGTAGAAAATATTGCATATATATGACAATACATTTAGCAGAGCCGTTAGGATAGTATGAATGAAGGAGATTTCAAAAAGTAAGATGATACATGGCTTGTTGAAATACACATAGCTAAACCTTCCATTCCAAGGCTTAATATTGCCTTAAAACTCCATCTCAGTGAAGGAATTGCCTCCCATAAATATATGGGACTTGGTAAAGTATCTCTGGTAACTAATTGAGCCCCTGAAGCCCTTTAAGTTCTGGTTATCACTGTATTTGTGCATAGGGGAATATGAGCCAGACTCTTTTTAGACTCATAGATTTTTAACACCAAAAGGGACCATCAAGATGAGTTAATCTGACTTGCACATTGCAGACCACAGAACCTCGCCCACCCACTTCTTTTCATTTTAAATCCACTTTGTAAAATGCTTGCATGTTCTTTTAAGATAAAATATTTATTTGCTCCCTATTATCTACAGAGGAGGCCACATACTTGAGCTCTGTGGGGCAGGGACTATTTGGTTGTTTTTTAATTGTGTTTTTATAAAACACTATGGAGTCTTGGGGCTTGTCTACACTTAAAGCACTGTAGGAGCACAGCTGCAGTGCTTAGTGCCTAGTGCCAATGAGAGAGCTTCTACCCCGAGAGGCGGTAGCTATGTCGATGGGAGAAGCCATCCTGTCGACATAGTGCTGTCTACACAGGGAGTTCAGGCCGTATAACTGCGTTGCTCAGGGTTGTGGATTTTATACCGACATGAGTTCATAGTGTAGACCAGGGGTTGGTCTGTGACTGGTAATCCTAGGCATTACCACAATAAGAATAATAATAACTGAGCTTGAATCTCAAGCACTCTCCATGAAGCATTACCCTATTTTAACTTTAGCTCAGTTTATATTGTGTTGAATTAGTCAGTTTTATCTACTAGTTATTTGTTCAGTGAGAACAAATGTACACAGCCAGTCCAGTATGAAGGAGGTGTACGAGGAGCAACAACAATGATAATGCCTTGATGAGTGAGCCTGCTGTCCAATTATCTGTTGGGGAGAGGTGCTAGGTTTCCTACCATTGTGCTGACTGTCTGCTAATCTTTAGTATCTAACTATTTCTCTTCTTCGTTGTAGCCCCTGAACCTACTGTCTTGAGGTTGTCTTGGCTGCTCTATTTCTAGAAGATTTTGTTGCCAGATTGCTTTTTTTTTAAATTCTTCTTCCCCAAAGCTTGACTTTGTGTACAGTTTTCAAAAACAGAATCTGCATAGTAAAATGACATGGTTCTTGTCCTGTCCCTGCTGGTCCCAAAGTTATGAATAGCAGAAATGAAACTGATTAGAGTGATTGATTTCACTCTGCTATTTTTTGGAAAGTCACGGCAGCAACAAATGCATTGAAGCAATCTGAAGACAGAAGAACCATAGGGGCTAGAAACGTTATTGTTAATGCACATCTAAATTCTGTCAAGTATCAGAGGGGTGGTTGTGTTAGTCTGGATCTGTGAAAAGCAACAGAGTCCTGTGGCACCTTAAAGACTAACAGATGTATTGGAGCATAAGCTTTCGTGGGTGAATGCCCACTTCGTCAGACACATGTAATAGAAATTTCCAGAGGCAGGTATAAATATGCAGGCAAGAATCAGTCTGGAGATAACGAGGTTAGTTCAATCAGAAGAGGGCCTCACCCTCTCCAATACATCTAAATTCTGCACTCTCCCAACTACACCAGAGGCTATACTGACGTAGCCTCTGGTGTAGACAGCTCTAGGTCAGTGGCAGAATTCTTCCACTGGACCTAGCTACTGCCTCTTGGGGAGGTGGATTACCTACACCGAAGGGAGAATCCCTGCCATTTGAGTAGGTAGTGTCTATACTGACCATAGACATACCCTATATAAAGGTCATTTTCTACTATTGATCTTTCTGCAAATATCTATTTGACACACACACAAACACGCACACCCGCTGCCATGGGCCTATACCCTGGGTGGAGCCTGAGGCAAGTATTTGGCCTAAATTTATACACTGGTTCACAGATCATAATTACAAATGTAATTTCTCTCTTCTATTGCAAATGGAATTTTCCCTTCTGTACTAGAGGGAGGCTGTGAAGGATGGAGCCCCATAACAGTTCAGGGACAGCACTTAGGTTAGAATCATAGCATTCTTTTGGGGAAGGTGAGAGGGGTGGAGGAGAGATAGGTTGGCCTCTCACCAGAGTGTTTTCCTGGACATGCTGTTTATGTGGCGGGAAATATTTTGTGTTGGTCTTTGGTTAGTAGATTAATCCTTTGATAGTTTGGTGTTTAGTAAATTTTTCAAAACCTGTGAGTGAGATAATAGTAGTGAGGGTATGTGCAAGTGGGGGGGGGAAAGAAAGTAGTGGAATACATTTAAATAAGAGACATAGGGTTCATTGAAAGAGATTATTGGGAGAGAAATGGGAGAAAGATTAAAATAAAGAGGGAAGAGATAGAGAACACAGGAAGAAAGGGATATAGCAGTTGAAGGAAGAAAGAAAAAAGAGGAAATAACATTGAAAACAATGTAGAAAAAGATATAGTATGATCTGTTTTAGGAAGGGAGAATGGAGTGAAGGAAAAAAAGGTATAGGAAAAATAAGGCAACTTGTATTATAAAAAAAATTATAGAAAATTGACAATATGTTATCAGTGACAAAGTGTGAAACTGTTTTATTCATTTAAACTGTAGCGGGCATAGCTTTGTTAGAGGGGTAACATAAGTATTTTTAACCCTAATTAGTCAAATTATTCCTTGGGTAAACTGTGTTTAACTATTAGGCTTCTGATTTTTGGTTTAAGCAATACACACAGATAAAATGATCCTGACACAAAAATGAAAAAGAAATATCGGTGTTTATCCAATAAACACTGGAAATGGTTACTTGTGTCTAAGGGCTTGTCTACATGGAGCAGTAATGCAGACCACGGGGGTGTAGCAGGGCAGTTTACCCCTTTAAAGCCTGCAGAGCCAGGGAGCAGTGAGCCCTTACCTATGGAGAAGCCCACCAGGTAGGTGTTGGGTACCAGCTGATCCACCTAAGAAGTAGCTAACAACTGGCTCTGATTTCCAGTTGGAAGACATAATTGAGGGCCCAGCTCTATGAAAGGGAGGGCCAGAAGAAACAAAGTTTTTGCTGGACAGCAACAGAAGGCTGCAACAGGGCAGGTAGGGCCTTGCAGTTCCCCAGAGGCTAAGGAACAGCTGTGACCCTTGAGCTGCTGGGGCCAGAGCAGTATCAGTCCAGATAAGGACTGTCACTTTTGTTACTTCTCTGTGTTCCTTGCGTTTGTGTGACAGAAGAGTAAAAGAGCCTGCGCAGAAAGCCGAAACAGGGTTTGCACGTAGCTGACTGTTTTGTCCCTTGAGCTGGTGAACAGATGCAAACTCACCAGCCTACAGGGAGCGTGATTTATAAAGTGCACTGATGTGTTGCACATTAATTGGCCTGAGTAGACCCTCCTAGTGTGCATTAAATGTTTGAAACAGTACTACATTAAAGCATAGTATGGAACACTACAAATAGAATACTCATCACAGTATATACTACTGTATAATATGTTACTCATTACAATATATATAAAGAGAGAGCCTGAAAACCTGCAATTTTTAGACATCTACATAAAACTCAAAAATTCCTAAAAAGAAACCCTGAAAAATGTAATGTATAAACCCCCCAAAACAGAAGCCCTAATTATGATCCTTTACATGCTCACAAACTTTGAAAAAAACTTTGGGGCTAAAAATTTCTCTGTGCCCCACCCACCCCTCTGTCCCTATGTGTCCCTGGATCCCCTCTCTGTCCCCATGTGTCTCTGTGCCCCCACCCGCCACCCCCTGTCCCTATGTAGCTCTGCACCCCGCCCAATCACCATGTGGCCTTGCACCTCCCTCCCCCCTGTGGACCTGTGCCTCCACTCCCATTCAGCCCCTGCCCCAGTCTGTCCTCCCGCACTAGCCCTTATGAGCCCCAGTCTGACCCCCTCCCCCGCAGTACCCCACGCTGTATGTTTCCCCATAGCCCCTGTCTCCTGACCTGGCCCGCTGTGAAGAAGGCAGCTCTTTCTCTTCCCTCGCTGGCAGGGAGCTGCAGCTTTGGTCTATCACCACAGCGCCCTCTGGTGGGCAAAAGTTGGAACCACAGAAGTTATTTTCTACTGGGAGCTGCTGCTGTTCTTGTGCCACAGTGCCCTCTGGTGGGCAAAAGGCAGAACTGCAGCAACATTTCAGCACAAACTTTTTTCTGTGCAAAAATTTAAAAATATGCAGGGCTCATTAATTATGCGCAGTAGCGCAGAATTCCCCCAGGAGTATCTTCTATATCGCTACATATGCATTGCAACTATTGCAAACATATGCAAACTATTACAAGGCAAGCATTTTTTCTAAAGATAATTTAAATTTTTCTGAGTAGCAGCCGTGTTAGTCTGTATCCGCAAAAAGAAGAACAGGAGGACTTGTGGCACCTTAGAGACTAACAAATTTATTAGAGCATAAGCTTTCGTGGACTATAGCCCACTTCTTCGGATGCATATTTTAAATTTTTCTTAAATCATCTTCAGGATAAAAAGACTTACAATACCTTATTTTATTTCTTCGATTCTAGTAGCTTGTAAGTAAACTTTTGTTTCATTTTAAAAAAGCAAATGAGTTTGTTCTGTTCTTATGTGTGGCATTCACGATCCAGAGGTTATTCATGATTTAGACATATTCATTCCTCCACAATGTAGGCAGAAGGCAACTTGGGCTTCCTTATTAGTCTTTTCAATTCAGACTCTCTGCTAGACTGCTGCAGTACCACGCTGACTCTAGAAAGAAACAGTGCCATGAAAGGGAAAGAACAAACACAAGAGATAAAAAGCGGAAAATGTGTTTAATAATTGCTATAAAGCTTAATGCAAAACTGTTACAATTACCTACTCAAGATGTGTTCTGTTTTTAAAAGAAACCAATAGAATGGGTTGGGTGGGTTATAATTAGAGCAGCTCCTGTATACTAGGATGATCGGCATCTTAAAAATATTTGCAACATTAAATGTCTAGGGCTAAACGTGTCAATATTGTCATTGATTTGGTGGATCTTGATAAATTGTTTTTACATTTTGACCCTTATTTTTCTGGCGTTTATAGCACAAGTCCCAGTCTGGCATTTCTGCAGTGGCCTTTGCCCATCTTACGCAATTGCAAGGAATTTAACAATACAAAGTAGTGAAGTACGAAGTATTGGTTATTTTTTTCAGTCAAATTTCTAAAATATGACTAATGCAGCTTACAATAGTCACAGGAATAGCCTATCACTTAAAAGATTGCTAAGTTCCTCCACTGGACTCAATTATCGCTGATTCAAATTCACTGAATAGTTTTGGCCAAATATGTGTGTGTGCGTCGGCGGGGGGGGGGGGGGAGGGAGGGGAGGGAGATAGGAGGTGGGAAGGACTTGGGGATATTCACAAAATTGTTGGAGGAGGCGGAGGCGGCAGAAGAGGAGGTGTTGGTGCATTATAACCTTTGTCCCAGTGATTATTTTGCATTAATGGCAATTCATAGTCTTTCATAATGACAATGACTATTCATTGGGCTAGAAAAAGAGAATGAGAACCACTCTACAGGCTGGCGGTTAGGGCAGTAACCTAGGATGTGGGAGATCCACGTTCAAGTCCTTGTTCCAATAACGCTAATTATTTAGATGCAGTGGAACAGCTTCAACAGGAGCAACTGAGATAAACCTATACCAGAATATCCCAAAGCCCAGTGGTTAGGGCACTCTCCTGCAGTGTGGGAGACCTGAGTGCAAATCACTTCTCCATATCAGGCAGAGGGAAAATGGAACTTTGGTCTCTCACATCCCAGGTGAGTTTTCTAACTATTAGGCCTAATGGTTATAAGGGAGGCACCACTACCTCCACTTGTTTTGTGAATTTAGCCCTTTAAAAATGCCCCAAATGGACATTTTTTTTTATTTGCTGAAGGATTTTTTTTTTTATATATACTTTTTGGATTCAGTTCAACCCAAACCCAACTTTTCTTCAAAAAATATATTTTTTTAACTACCAACAAACTGAAAAATCAGTTAGATGCCCAGCTCTACTGCTTAGGAATTACAAAGTCCATAGGCTGAAAGATGTATATCAGTAACTGTGCACAACTATTACAAGGCAGGGACCATATACCTTGTAAACTCTGTAAGCAGCTGTTGAAAAATGTGTAAACAAATAGCTATGATGCCTCCCTTTTCAGTATAAATAGTGAAGGGTAACACAGGGTCCAAGTATTTGTCATATGCAACTTTTTTTTTTTTTTAGGCGAGTCAATTTTATTTATTTGGTATAAGTTTAAAACCTCAGTGAACCTTGCATCTCTTCCAATTTAATCTCAGGAGTATCTTATTTCCCACTCCCCATATGATACTTTAATATGAACTTAATATTGTCCATCTTATGTAAATCTGTGCTATTTGACTTCTGTTTACTGAATAGTCCTTCAAAAATATTCTGATTTCTTATTATGGCCAGTAAGAATTTGTCTGTCAGACTAGGGACTTGTTTGCTTTTCTTGGCAAATAGTTCAGAGGTAGTCTTAATAAGTTGCCTGAATGCACAGACCTTTGGCCTCAAAGTTAACTCCTTCTCTTCACTTCATGCCCCCCTTTGCCACTTGATTCAGCTTTGGGTCTGAAGATCCAAGGCCTCTGAGAGCAAATTATCTAAGTACTCTACTGCATCTTAACCTTTTACCCAGCTAGGAGACCGGAAGATCCTAAGCTGTTTGTCTTGTTCCCACTTTTTTCCAAATCCTCTAATTTTTCAAGTATGTTCTTATAAAGCCAGTTAGGAAGTTGGATGACATTCTCATCAACTGATGCTTTATTCTCCCTTGCAGTTTTCTTGTATGCTTTCCTCTAAAAAACTATGGGACAGTTTTCACTTCAAGATTTAATCTAAGTAAACATGAATGAAGTCAGTATTGCCAAACCCAAGCATTCAAAATCATGAGTCTGGCCCCCCAAAATCCAAGATTGGCTTAAATCACAAGATTTAAAAATAGTGCATTATTGAGCCTTTAGAATACTTTCATTCATGTTTACAAGCTTTGTTTACATGGTCTGCAACCATGAGAACTGGAATTTTTGTAAATAAAAAGTGAGATCTTTTGACCTCTTTGATTCATCAAAATTGGTGATTGTAAGCTCTTAGTTTTGAAACAGGGACAGTCTTTTTGTTCTGTGTTTGTACGGCGTCTAATACAATGGCACCCTGGTCCATGACTGGGACTCCAATGTGCTCTTGTAATACAAACAATAATAATCCCTTGACTGGTGTTGCAGGAAAAATGCAGTATTTTGTGTTAAAGCTCCAGCAAGTTTTGCAAGAGTTGGTAACAACGTTAAGTTAAACTTAATGTGCACAGAAAACTGTTTTTAAGTTATTTTTCCTTTTCATCCTAAAGAACAAAGATTAACAGCTCATAGACTTTCATATTTAAAACAACTTGAGATTGCCACCTATCTCAACGCTCAGTTTTGCTCATTTATGTTTCAGGATGACCACACTTTTTTTCATTCATAAAAAGCTTTTAGGTTGAAATCAAGTGAATATATAGTTTCAGTACACAGAGGAGAAAAACTCAAAGGTTTATATATTTTTGTTTTTTGCAGTCTTAAAACTTTTGAAGCCATGGGAATCAAGGTCCAGCGGCCACGTTGCTTTTTTGACATAGCCATCAACAATGTACCTGGTGAGAAAAATAATTACTAGGCTATATTATTTTTAAGCAATATAAATATTTAATGGTCAAATGAAGACAAATATAATTTAACTTTATAAATGTGTGGAATTTTTTCCAGCTGGAAGAGTGGTCTTTGAATTGTTTTCTGATGTGTGCCCAAAGACATGTGAGAATTTTCGCTGCCTTTGCACAGGTTCGTAGATATTTATGATTTTTAACTTAATTCATTGTTGGTTAGTTTCATATTGTGAATTACTATATTCAGCAGAATCCCCTGTAGATATCGAATGATTATCACTTTTTGCATACCAGAAAATGAAGGTAGACGTTAAAATAATGGGTCTTGGTCTCTGTAGAGATTTAACATCAGTGTCTTGTGTGCATTTAATGCAGCACTTGCAGTTGTGGCATCAGTTAGTACATGGAGCATACGCTAATCAAACTTTATTTTAATAAAAAATTAGTTTTGTATTTAAATTTGATTCTTTTAATTTAAATACAATTTTTAAATAAACCTATTTAAAATTAAATATGAAATTTACAACCTGTTTTAAGATTTAAACTTACTGTAATCTATTAAAATCATTAATTTAAAATACAAAAAATAATATTAAGCAGTATGTTTGCTGGTAAGTTTTAAAGAAAGTAAAATCACTGACTTTTTGTGTAAGTCACTGGTTAAGCACCTGGAACCAGAGCTTGTTGAAGTGCTAAACCAGCTTTTGACAGCTGTAGCCTCTACTGCAGGTACGGAGAGAATGTTTTCTTCATTTCAGTTAATTCAAAGTAAATAACCATAGGAGATGAAAAAAGTAAGACCAGTTTGAATCAATGTATAAAAATATGTATGATAGGATGAGATTTACTAGTTCTAAAATCTCGAAGGACTTAGTGACCAGAAACAATCAGTTCAATTCACAGATAATACTTCCTTTTGTTTCATAAATCAGTTTTAAATGCAAAACATGTTTTTTGAACTTTGCCTTGTATCTACTTTTAAAGTAGTTTTATTTAATAATAAAAAAATTAAAATGCTGGTTTTGTGCATTTTAATTGAATTTGAATTTCCATCCAAATAGAGCTTGGCACAAATCACAAGTAAAAAAGAATAATCTAAAATAGGAAATTCATCATTCACTGTTTTCTAACATAATAAAAATTAAGGCTTTAGTAATTGCAAGTGATATAATTGATTAAATTAATGTGTGCATATGTGTGTGTGTGTGTATATACACATACATACACACACAGAGTGTATCCTGCTGGTTAGCAAAAAGAAGCACCAATGTTGGTGTAAAAGGTTATATTTAATTGCAAATCAACATGTTTTAATGGTTACCACCTAATGAGAATCAACTTTTCTTTAGAAAAGTTAGTAGAAAGTACAAATGCAAAATATGATTAAAATTGATGATTTTAATCAAGTTTTCCTGCTTGTTTAATTTAAATCATGATTAAAGTCAGTGATTTAAATCAGTTTGTGCTGGCTGAAACTATATTATAATAACTAATCCTGAAACTGATAAGCATACAGTAAAGGTAGCCAATGAAAGGTCAGGAAGTTGGGCATTAATGGACTTCCTTCTTACTCCTGTGATATACTGAACTACCACTAATATTCATGGTCTTTGCTTTCTAAGATTGGCCATCCACGTCTTAACTATCCCCTTTGGTTTTTTCTTTGTAGCAGCTGTGTGGCGATCTCTAATCCCAAATTAAATTCAAATTCCCTGTTTCTTAGTCAAATTACCAGTCTTTTCAAAGCCCTATCGTGGAAATATTTTTGAAATGGCATTTTTATCCTGCTGAATTGCTACTTTAATTGAAGAATATTGATATTGGTCCAAGCCTAGTAATTAAAGTAAAACATTGTTTTAAATGGTGGTTGTGAATCTGACCCAGATTTCTCCAACCTCCGTCAACTTGTTTCCAAGATAACCTTTTAACAAATTTCTTTTCTCCTAAAAGTTCGTCACAGTAATGGATTTATAGAAATTTGCTTGTTTTTTCTCTATCTCCAACATTTCCCACCATCTGCCCCCTCAATATTTTTCTTACATATCAATCTCTTGCAAGTTTTTGCTTATCACTTCCATGTCAGAAACAAGTAATATATGTGCACATAAAGTAGTTCAAGCTCAGAATTTGAATTTGATCTTATTATTGAAACATTGGGAATATATATGGTCAAAAGTGTTTAGAGCAGGGGACTAGAAATCAGTTTCTTGGGTTTTCTTCTGGCGATCAGTCCAGATAAAGATATACTCAACTTTCTGAAAGTGGCGGAACCTTTGCAGGGTTTTCTCAAATGTCTAAAAACTTGTCTTTAGATTATAGGAGACTTTAAGTCAATGTAGTGCTTTTTTAATTTTGGTGTTCGTTCAGTTACCTGCCCTTCAGACTTTGTACGTATTGCCGCCAGCGGTGTGTTAGCCTTTTAGGAGTAGTCTTTGAGGTTTTGTCTTGACAGGAAAATTTATACAAGTATAATTTTACCACCGTAGTTATACTGGTATAATTCCCCATGTGGACAGTCTTACTCTGGAATGATAATACATTTAAGGTTCTGAGTGATGCTGGTAAATTTCCCTTGGAGACTGGTGTCCTATCTACAGCTTCACCACAGACTTCCTTTGTGACCTTGGCCAAGTTACCTTGGCCAAATTTTTCAAAAATGGGTATTGAAATGGCGTAACCCAAGTTTTGAGTGCCCAACCTGAGAGACCTGGGATCTGACTTTGAGACGTGCTGGGCACCCACAACTCCTAAGACCTTCATTTGGAGCTGTGAACACTCAGCACCTCTGAAAGATGGGTATCGAGGAAATAAGAACCAAAATCAATGGCCAGCTTTGGACTTAATCTACTTGTCTGTGTTCCCATCTACAAAACAGATGTTTACCTACTTCACAAACTGCTTTGCAAGACTTAATACACCTCTACCCCGATATAACACGAATTCTGATATAATGCGGTAAAGCAGTGCTCTGGGGTGGGGGGGCTGCGCACTCCGGCGGATCAAAGCAAGTTCAATATAACGCAGTTTCATCTATAACGCGGTAAGATTTTTTGGCTCCCGAGGACAGCATTATATCGAGGTAGAGGTGTAGTTAATGTTAGTCAGACTGTTGGAGCTCCTCCCATGAAAGATGTTGCACAAGTGCAATGTATCTTTTTTTATTTCCCCCCCCCTTCCTTCCCCCGCCTCTTCCCTCTCTCCCTTTTAGGTGAAAAAGGTACCGGAAAATCGACCCAGAAGCCATTGCATTACAAAAGTTGTCTGTTTCACCGAGTTGTGAAAGATTTTATGATCCAAGGAGGTGACTTCAGTGAAGGTAGGACACAGCCTTAAAAGAAAACTCCAGATCTTAAATAGTAAGATATTTTTAAGAGTCCTATTCAGCACTCTATATTCAGATGAAATGTCTGTGGACTTTAAGGTGTGTGTTCTTCGAGTAAGGTGTGCTGAATAGGGCCTTCAAATAAGAACATTTTTATAAATAGCTTTTGGTTCCATTATCTTTATAGCTTGGAGTGGTCTCTCAGTGGAAATTTTTAGTGTAATGCAGTGTAAAGCATTGTATTTCCCAGTAGTAGTCCTAGCTTGATCTAGAGATATGTGAGACAGTGCAGAATAAATGGAAAAGCAATAACCTGCATTTTCTCAGTCCCATTCTACTTAAGCAGACTGTCAAGATGTAGCTTCCTATTTGACTGTTCTTGAAGATATTTTTACTTGAATGCAATAATTGAAATATCTTTTATTTTATGATACTTTCTTTAGGAGTCATTAGGCACATCTTGAACTTTTAATGATTTATACTTTGACTAAATTTATTTGTAATACAATGTGTTGGGTTTTTTTTCTTTCAAGGAAATGGGAGAGGAGGAGAATCCATTTATGGTGGTTTTTTTGAAGGTAAAGTTTTCTTTATCAAGCCAATCTATATATCTTTTCAAATGTTCTGTCTTATAAATATTAAACTTGTAATCCATGGTCTTGCTCCTACAATCATCTGGGGTCTGTGCATACCAAATCTGAGTCCCATTGGGTTTATTTGGGTTCTTCATGGGCGCAGTGGTCTTTGCTAGCTGATCTGATGGCAGTATGAAGGCCGTAAAGGTGTATTTTGTTTACTTCACAATTTTGTTCAGAAAATGTTTGTGTCTAAGTGAGGCTCAAGCTATTCTGATTCAAATTTGTCAACTTTATCAGACTTACATTTGTGCATATCTGATTCTAAACTTGCTATCATGATTAATTTTGTGACTTCCGTATCCAACTTGATCATCTTAAGTAAATTAATTTTTCGAACAGCAAGCACTGTGTAAACTCATCCTGGTATCTGAAAGTAAAGCTGCTTATTTGGCTTGACACCAGATTGGATCACCACCATTAATAAAAATTCCTCATCAAAGCATAGTTAAAAATTATATTGATGATGCATGAGCTAGAAAAAAACCCAACATTTTGGTCTTCCAAAGATGTATGCATCTGCATGTGCCAACAAGAGTGAAAAATAGCGAAGGCCTGCTCTTACTATACTCAGATGTTGCATGAGTATATACAGGAAGTACATCTGTTGAGTAAGTTTCATTTTTACAGTCACTCTTCATACCATAACTACAATTTAATAGGCAGGTGAAAATAAGAAATTACGTTTATTTTTCTCCTTTTTAAATTCCAGGCATTAGAATGTGAAGCCTAATGTATCCCAAGAACATGACATAATATACTTTATTTTTAAGCTAATTTTTTAATGCTCTTTACTGCAGTGATAAATTTATATGGGTTAGCTGAGGGGAAAAATAGATAAATGCCATTTAAATAATAGAACAAAGTAAATATTTGGTATTTTAAAGCAATCAAAAACACTTTCTCTAGATGAAAGCTTTGCTGTAAAGCACAACAAAGAATTTCTTCTGTCAATGGCCAACAGAGGGAAAGATACAAACGGTTCACAGTTCTTTATGTAAGTATTGTATTATTCTGATATGCATGTTACTTACAACATTAAAGTTGTAGTAATCATTTAATTGTTAAATAGAAAAAGGTTTAGGTTTTTTTTTTTTATCAAATGGGAACTGGTTTTCCAGATATGAAGCTCCATGCAAAACAGCCGCTTCCTAGAAATGCTTATCTTGGAGATAAACTTGATCATTTTTAGCACTCCTTATTGTTTTGGATGAGTGCTTCTCTTATACATAGAAAACAATTTCATTACTTGCTTCTAACTTTGGCAAGTAATGCAAAGCTAATTGATATTCTCAGCAGACTTTTCTCAATTTTGTGTAAAATGTCTTGTCTGCTTAGACTTTTGGATGGGAAAAGCTCTGGGGATTATGGTAGCTGTGTGTGTGTGTGTGTGTGTGTGTGAAGTTGCAGTTTTTGGAAAACATTCTAAGAGCAATCTCATTTTAAAGGAAAAAATAACCACATAGCTAAATTTATCACCACATATAATAAATCTAAGACTGAATTTATCACAGTATATCTACAACAGAGAGATTCCTTTGAATAAGGCTTATCTACAGAAAACATTCTCTCTTGAAATTGATCCCCTGTTACCTATAATTGATAAAGATCTTTCCTTTAATTAATGTGATGAGTTACATGCATCATCTACAAGTAGACAGTTATTTTTGGGTTGCTGACCAACCTTTAGCCTCTTTCAGCCCAGCTTCTGATTTCTCTTATGACTGATACTTGCATGCCATGGGATGTCCAGCCCTGGCCTGTGTGGAAGCTTGTGTGAATCACATGCATTGTCTGTAGGTATAAAGCTCTTCTTGAAGAGTCTGTAAGTCAGTTCTAGAGCTACATCAAATGTCATGAAGCAGGTGGCCAGCTGTTTTTCTTTTCTGACTTCTCCCTGCTTCCTTTTCTAATGACTATAAGACTATTTGCAGTCTCTTTTGAGATAGATTCATTTTCTTTTTAAATCTCCCCTCAAGTGTTCATTAATTGAATCAATAATAGCATTTTGTGATACCATGTATACAGGATACTATCTAAAAATTGGATTAATGCTAGAATATCTTCATTTACTAATGTTTCATTCAGTGATACTTAAACTATGACTACATGGCTGTTATAAATGGAACAAAACAGAATTCTTAATTTATTAGTTCATTCAAGATAATTTTTAACTTATTACATGCACTTAATTTTGTTTCAAATGCAGTTTTGTTTCCTTTGTAAAGGGTGCTAACTTTGTTTTTCTCTTCGTTTTAATTATTCCTTTTGATGGTATCAAAAGAACAACCAAGCCTACACCTCACCTAGATGGGTAAATATCTTATCTCCTTTATTTGTGTTTGTGAAGTGGACACTGCTTTGAAAATTTTAGATGTTAAATATTTCTAATCATTTATTGTAGTAGAAAACTTGCATTTTATCTTTTTTATATTATTTATTTATTTTTTTAATTTATTTTTTTAAACTTCAGACTTCATGTTGTTTTTGGACAAGTCATCTCAGGACAGGAAGTTGTGAGAGAGATAGAAAACCAGAAAACAGATGCATCTAGTAAACCATATGCTGAAGTACGAATACTGAGTTGTGGAGAGTTGATTCCAAAATCCAAAGGTAAGGTTGAACTACCTATTTCTAACGCATGTAAGTGTAGCTTTTTTCCTCGGTTCTTATAATAGTAAATAGAAACATGTTTGTAATGGATGGAGAGTTCATAAAGACATTAGTAATTGCCCATAGTAAACTGTGTACCTTCTAGTAACTGAAAAGCTAGTGACAGAGACATTATTAAAGAAATGTTATTTTGTTAGACATATGATTTTGTTATATAATTTATCCCAATGCTAAAAAAGAATCTCCCACATAGTCATGTGATCAAGCAACCTATAGACAAAAGAAATATCAATCTCTAACAGCCTATACAAGTTGGCCCCAGCTGTTCCTCTTCAGTCTTTCTTCCTTTGTCCTGGCAGCTGGAGTGCACATTTTGGCACTCCAGCCTCTTATCTTTTGTTTCTCCTTCTAGGAACAAGGAAGAACTGCAGCTCCCCTACCCCTGGCCATTGGGGAATGAATTAATGCTTTTCTCAGTGATTCTCAAGGTTTAGGCCTTTCTATGCTAGCCCAACCTGCTTCTGGTACTTTTCTGATAGGTACTGCATAAAGAGTCATCTGGCATATAAATATACTGATGTCAGTCTGACTTTTCTTAACACCTGCTGCTTCTATTGAGCTTGTGGTTCTGGGTATAGTCCTCCTCTACAGTGCTTCAGGTGAGTGAGTAGGTTAGGAAGACCTGCAATTTGCCCTGCTGTAAGTATGCTTTGTAAGGTACTTTGAATTATAAACAGGGATATAACAGAATCTGCCTCTTTCTCTGGAAAGGATGCTCTGCTGTGCTGTGCTCTTCCAGAGCTGAACATGGTGTTGGAAGTTAGCCCCTGCTCTTCTGACAAAATAATTCAGTACAAAGACTGCTGTCATTGTGATGGAGAACCCCAGTACAGGAGCCTCAGGATGCCTGTTTGGTAGGAATTTTAACAGGGACCGTCTTGCTTTCTCATTCTTAGCACCTTCCAGATGATGCCTACTTGGAAGGGTTGCAACAAGGATGTTGAAGCACAAGACAAGGATTACCCTGTTTCTTTGGCCTAAGGGAAGCAGACGAACATTCATACTTGAACTTCTTGATTTATTTCCCTCCTCTTTCATGCTATTCTTCCATCTTCTGATATGATTGGCAGAAGAATGGCTTTGGGTTATGAAGTGATCTCCTTCGTTCCCAAAAGTTCAGTGATAGACTGCATTATGGCTAGGGGTGTCTAGAAGTCGGACAACTTTTTCAGCTGGTTCATAAGATGTCCTGGATGTTAGGATGTCAAATTTTATTTTCCAGCAATTTCCTTGGATAGCACTTGTCTTGTGACAGACATAATATTATAACAGTGAATGGGAAGGGCTAGTAGATATATATGAATATATATAATGAGTAGAGCTTGTGGGTGAGACAATCCCTTGCATGATACATATATCCTAGTCCACCCTATTCCCTTCATAGGACTATTCTAAAAGGTTGGAAACTGAATGACTAACAGAGGTTTTAGTTGGAGCTGAACTGTCTGGTGCCTTAAGACGCTGCCTGAGGGCTTTAAAGTTGCATCAAGCAAAAGAATAAAAGAAATAAATATAAAATCTTTTTCCTTTAACTTTTCCTGAAAGAAAACAGACTTCTGGAGAGATCTGACTGTCTGATCCCACCTGTATGTCTGAGTCCTGGGCCCTCTTCTTGTGCCTCTTCGCCTGGGTACTGCTAGGAGTCTGGAGATCCTGCTTCCTGTAGCTGCTGTGATGTGCCACAGAGGGAGATTGCTGCCAGGGCCGTGGGTTGAGCCACTCAACAGACCATGAGGCACAGTACTAGATACTGGTGGCTAGCAGGAGAACATGGAGAACAAGAGGCCTTAGAGGCGCCAGGAGCGGGCAGGTGGAGGGCAGAGCTGAGTGCGGGGAGGAGTGTGGGCCCCCAGGAAGGGGCACTAATGCCGAACGAGCCTGATGAAGGTGCTACCTGGCAGACTGTGACGGAGTTCGTGGTGAGTGGAGGACTCTGCTGTTAGCAGAGAGAGGCCCTGTGCAGGCTACTGCAAGAGGAAATCTATCCCTGTTGTGGGAGATGACTGTATGGCTAAATTGGTTCGCTGAGGGCACAACCAGGACCCTGCTGATGAGCTATGATGACCTGAGTACCTGGAGATGGGAGGAACAGGCTGTCGTCACATCAGCAAAAGGATATTGGCTCAGCTGCAGTCCAAGGCTGAGTGATGGGGCAGAAGAGACCCTTGGAGTCATGGTCAGGAAGAGGCCAGGGAATCCAGATGTGAGGACCAATACCTGGGAGGTGAGCGGAACAGAGTACTACTGGTGGTCGTGGAGGACCAGCAGCAGAGAGGCATCAAACAATGGAGCTATGCAGTACTTTACTGCAGGAGGCAAGAGGGATCATGTGCTATGAAGTGTGGCAGTTACTGGAGCAGACTGCTTCAGGGGAACTGGCATAAAGACAAAAGAAGGGTGGGTGGGTTCCTGGAGAGAGTGACCAAAAATATCTTTGATCATCTTCTCATAGCAAGGGAGGCTGAACTAAAACACTTTGGGCTTAGGACTTGGTGAGGTGGCAATATCCAGGGAAGGAAGGGGGTGAATGGATTACAAGGCTGTATCTGTAAGGACTAGAAATAAAGCTGACAAATCTTGGGTTTAGTGGGGAGCTTCAGTGAGTCAGAGGGAATGGCTTGAATTCCAGTAGGAGTACGGTTTGGGGTTGGAGGGTGTAAAGTTGGGTAAAAATAATTTGGGGGGTAGAGATTGAGTTCTCAGATACTATCAATTGGGTAAAAATAAGGGGATTGTATTTTAGGGTACTATCATGGGTGATAGAAGTACTGTGTGGAGGAGGGGAATTGTGCTTCTGCAGAGAAGTGATAAATGTGGGGTATGGGTGAAGGGAATTAAGGATTGCTTGGTTACGTGATTGTTGGGCTAATTTACTTGGACTCTGGGCATAATTGGAAGGCTGTCTCTGAGGGACAGTGCAGAGAGCAAAGAGCATGATGTAAGTGACAGAAGGCTAAAACAGAAGCTATAACTTGGAGTTCGATAGGTTTCTCACCAAGGTGAGGGGGATATATTACCAATCTTTTCTCCCCTTTGACACCTCAGAGAAATTAGTAATAAAGAAATCTATAACATGGGGGGGGAAAAGGGAAATAAATAGTAATCGATATAAATTAGACGTTAAGTATAAAAAATTGATAAAGGAAACTAAAGACAAAGGGGCAAAAATCATGGCTGGTAGGGCTAAGACGATAAGGAGTTTTTAAAAATATTAGGAACAAAAAAAATCCTAGTAATGGTATAGGCCCATTACTACATGGAGATAGGGACATTGTTAATAATGGTGCAAAAGGGGCAGAAGTATTCAATAAATATTCCTTTTCTGTATTTGGAAAGACTTGTATCACATGAGGATGATGAAGTACTTTCTAGTTCATTAGTAACTAAGGAGGATGTCGTCATTTGCTAAGGATAACTATTTTTAAATAATCAGGACTGGATAACTTTCAGCCAATTGCAAGTGTTGGCTGAGGAGATCTTTGGCCCACTGATATTAATTGTTGTTAAATCTTGGAATACCAGGGAAATTCCAGAAGTCTGGAAGAGTGCTAATATTGTGTCACTATTCAAAAAGAGCAAGTGGTATGATCTGGGTAACTATAGGTCAGTTAGTCTAACATCAGTCTCAGGCAAAACAACAGAAAAGCTGGTATAAGATTCAACTGTTAACAAATAGGAATATTAATGCCAGTGAGCATGGTTTTGTGGAAACTAGGTCTTATCAAACAAATCTGATTTAATTCTTTTACATTACAAGTTTGGTTGATAAAGATAACTTTAGATGTAATATATGTAGACTTTTGTAAGGTATTTAATTTAGTACCGCATGATATTCTGATTAAAAAATTAGCATTATATGATAAATCAGTGGCTAACTGACATCTCAAAGTAGTTGTCAGTAGGAAATAATCATTAAATAGGAGTGTTTCTAGTGGAGTTTTGCAGAGATCAGCACTAGGCTTGATGTTCAGTATTTTCATCAATGTTCTGAAAATAAATATAAAAATTTAAATTTTGCAGATGACACAAAGATTGGTGGAATGGTTAATACAGTCATACAGAGTGATTTGGATCATGTGGTGAACTGGGCCCATTCAAACAAAATGCAGTTTAAGATATCCAAATGCAAAGTTACACAGTAGGGAATAAGGAACCTACAGAATGGGGGACTTTATCCTGGAAAGCAGATTTAGGGATCATAGGGTACAAGTGACTGAACATGAGTTCCCCATGTGATGCTGTGGCAAAAAGGACTATTGTGATTCTTAAGATATATGAACAGGGGAGCAGTAAGTAGGGTGATGATTTTCATTGGTGAGAGACACTAGAATGCTATGTCCAGTTCTGGTATCCTTTTAAAAATGTGAACGTTGAAAAAATTGGAGAAGGTGCAATACAGAAATGATTCAGGGGCTAGAGAAAATGCCTTGCAGTCAGAGACTGAGAGCACAATCTGTTTAGCTTACCAAAAAAGAAGATTTGGTGGTTACTTGATTAGTGTGTAAGTACCTTAATGGAAAGAAAATACTGGTACTAGTATGCTCTTTAATCTAGTGGAGAAAGGCATAACAAGAACCAGTGACTGAATGTTGAAGCCAGACAAATTAAAATTGGAAGTTGGACATGAATCACCGTGAAGGTGATTAACCCTTTGAACAAACTACTAAAGGAAGTGGTGAATTCTTCACCTCTTGATGTCTTGAACTCAAGACTTGGAAGCTTTTCTGGAAAATATGCTTTAGCCAAACACAAGTCACTGGGCTCAATACAGGAAATGTAATGGCCTATGGTATCCAGGAGGACAGACTATATGATCTGGTGGTCTTTTCTGGCCTGAGCTTTATGAATCTGAGTTAAGTCTGACTGTTGGGCCAGATGCTGTCTCCCATTCAAGCCCAATACTCTGTGGTGTCATAAGAGTGGCTACATTTCATAAGAGG